AAATTTTAATCTAGAAAAAAAATACATAGAACACTAAGAGGAAAAGACAGCCAAGAACAGACAGAAACACAGAGAGTTTTGTGAGAAGCATCTGGTCTCGATGATGGTGTAAGAAGGGGAGATTTGAAACTAGGAGGTAGCGGCTCCCATGCAATAAAACAAAGATAAAGAAATAAAAGTGGCACAGCCTGGAGAAAAGTGGGCAGTGGACAAAGAGGTGTATTCTAGGATATTACTGATGAAATTATGTGCTGCTGCAGCCTTTCTGAAAGTGACTTTGTAATAAGTGACAAGCTACAAACTGATAGCCTTTGACCTGGTAATATCAGCCTTAGCAACCCATACCAAAGCAATAATTTAAAAGGAAAAAAGTCGCCTACTTGTATGAAGTTGCAGATCTGCTCTATGGTACTGGAAATTGCTCCTGTGGCGGTGGATGCCTAGGCGAACCACGGTACTTTAAATTACATGGACTATTATAATGGAATTAAGAATGGCAAATCTGCACACTGTACAGAGCAATCTGTGAAATGATATTTAAAGAGCTCATTACATGCAATGTAGTCTCCTAGATGGGTCCTGGAACAGAAGGATATTAGCAATAAAAAAAAGAGAGAGAGAAAATGTATATAAAGTCCATAGGTTAGTTAATAATACAGTATCAACATTAACTTCCTAGTTTGGACAACTGTGTCATAAGTATGAAGATGTTATTAGGGAAAGCCAGGTGAAGGATATGTGGGAGCTGAATATGTGCCACTCTTCCGTAGGTTGGGGGTTCTATTCTCGGTCAGGCCACATAACTGGACTGTGGGTTTGATCCCCATTTGGGGTGGAAGTGGGAGGTAACTGAATGGTGTCTCTCTCTCTCAAATCAATATACATATATCCTCAGGTGAGGATTAAAAAAATTAAGTAGGCTAGAAAAACATTTCAGAGTTATAAAAATTACTTTGCTTTTTGGCAGGTGGAGGGAAAGGGGGGAGGAGAGAGAGAGAGTCATTTCGTGTTGCCATGCGGGTTAGAGTTTTCACTGAGCTGAAGATGATCAAGACGCCCAGACTCAGGGCGGCTGGAGAGGACTCCAGGTATCCACATCCTGACAGTCTAAAAGTAGTTTTGATGTTGTTAGCATGAAGATCTCATTTAGGGAATAAGGAAGACATTTTCTATAATAATCTTTTTAGTAATCACTCCTCAGGGACTGTATTTAGAATTTCATAGTACATGAAATGAAATGTTTTTCTTCTAAAGACAAGATAGTTTCTGCTTATTGGGGAGTGGGGCATGCAGTTTGCTAACCCATGGCAGCCTGAAAAATGTAAATGTTTATCTAAAGAAAATGCTTCTGCAGAGCTTGAGCGTTTGGAAAGTCCCGGCCTTCTTGGCATTTGTTCCCTCTTCAGTGCCCTGGGCAACACGGGCTGAGTGAGGAGTGACTAAGAGGGTAGGTTGGGGTGCAGGGGAGGCTCCTCCAAAGTGGCTTCGCTGAAATCAGTTCTGAACTCACTAACTTCTTTAAAATGTGTTAAGTAATAAAATAAAATTGCATTTAGCACTGTTGGATTTTGAAATAGTTGTAATTCTGAAAGAACATCTTGGCTTCCCTCACAGGGCTTTGCTCGGCCCGATTCCCTGGTGGGCGGCATGGCCAGCGACCCGAGGAGACAAGCAGCGAGACACCTCCGCGTCCACAGAGGGACAACAACGCCACCCTGTGCCTGGCAGTGTCACCGGAGTGGGTCTGCCAATCGCCAGCAACGCAGATCATCTCCAATCCTGCCCCCGCTTCCCACTAGCGTGGGCCCCACCCCTGTCCTGAGACTGGTTGAGACGATCCTGCTGAGGGAGGGTCTGAACACAGACGCACCCACCGCACACCTGGAGTCTGGAGTTCGTCTCTGCCTTGTGGCGGACCCGCAAACTGGTCCACTGTCCTGCACCGGTTGGTTCACTGGAAATGAGTTTTGCTCCAGTGTTTGTCCTTTGCTTCCGATGACTAATGCTATGAAATACCAGTAGATAATATCCAAATGTCCCTTTATCTACAAACATTTGGAAGTTGTTGAGGACAGTGATCAAATTATTTGCTGGGGGTGCCTAACTAAAGCTATAAGTGAGACTTTTCTCTAGACTGGGGAGTTTTGAACTGGCGTGCCATGAGATTTTTAAAACATGCGATACCTTACTCTTTAGTCAGAGGCACTGACCTCTTTTTCGTTAGACTGTCCAATAAAAAAGAATGACAACAGCCAACAACAATAGCTGTCCAGTGTGAATGAAGCAAAATTATACCTATTTTTTGTCGGGCAAAAAAGCTAATAATTTTTGGTGTGCTGCAGAATTTTAGTAATTAGTTTATATGTGCCATGCGATGAAAACGGTTGAAAACTGCCTCTCTAGACAGTCTTGGGAGCACGGGCTTGGGGTCAAATGGCCTAGATTCATATCCTTACTCCACTGCTCACTAGCTGTTGAACTTTCTAGGCCTCAGTTTCCTCCTCTGTGACGTGGAGATCATGACACTTGGCCCACTACATTTTTATGAGGATGAGACTCAACAGAAATTAAGACTTTAGAATCATGCCTGGCAAAAAGTTAGCGCTCAATAAGCATTCATTATCACAAGTTTTATAATGAGGCACTAGAAAAACTATCACATTCCATAAGGAACTGGGGCGCTTTGCCTCATGAACAGTGTGATTCATAGAAAGTAGGGTTTGGAAACCCTTTCCCCTTCTCAGTACGCTTGGGACCCTCAACGGCGACAGGGACTTTCTACAGCATGGCGGGGGCGGGGGGGGAACTTCGGACCTAAGGTTGTGGGGTACTTAGAAGCTGGTGAACTTTACAGAAGTCCCTTCAAGATTCTGAGTTGCCCTTGCAGAGATTCGTGTCATTCACGGTTCAATGCAAATATTTTCTGCGCCGTTTCAAGAAAGCATTTGTCCACATAAGTCTTCTCCTATCACTTATGGAACAAAGTAGGATATACACACATACAGTACATGTATTTGTTGGTTTAGAACTAAGTACAACTTCAGTAACTTATGACAAAGCTGAACCCTCTTATCAACATGAAGAAATCCACAACAGGTGTGGGAACAGACATGCTGGCCACAGAAAGGTGGCAGATAAAGAACCCAGTGAGCCACATGACTGGAGGGAAAAAGAGAGCACCGACTTCAGCGGTACTTAACCAGGCTTCTGTTTCCGGTACCAGTTCCAGGTCCACTCCCTCTCTGCCCTCCCTCATCAGTCTCACACGGATAAGACATCCCGGCCCCAGCCCGTAAGAGTGAGAAAGATACTGCTGCTGCTCACCCCTCCTGGCCAGCCTGTTAGCATGGCTCTTGTAAAACACCTGGTACCAAAGCACATCATTCACATCCCACCTTCCTATCTTATTGCATCTCTTCCCTGCCATGAAATTTATCTTTAAAGGCCAAGGCCTGTTCAGAACACTGCTGGTCCTTCCTCGGCCTCCACGCAGTCAGGCTGCGCTTGGAATACAGCTGAGCAGACTAGGAGCAGCGGAGACTTCAACCTCGAGCCCCAGGTCTTGCAGAACCGATGGCAATTCGGCAGTTTCTGGCAAAGGAGTCAAGGTTTGAACCTGCTACGTGTAACTACTACTAGGGGAACATACTTGCTGTTTTATTCACAGACACAGGTCTTTGAGATCCAGAAAAGGTATCTAGAACCAGCGTCATAAGTTACAAATAAAAATGAAACATGCAACACAAAAATTCAGGGCCCCTGGTTCAAAAGAGCAGGAAAAATGCTGTAAATGTATTAAAACATGAAACTTCATTTTCTTCTGGTTATTTCATGTCATGTTCCTCGAGACACAGGGATCCTTATAGGGTGGGTGCAGAGCATTGCAGGTGCCCGGGGCCCTGCCCACCCCACAGGCCATCATCTTGTGGGCTCCGCCTCCCACCAGCTGCTGGACCAATACATTGTGCCCTGGCCAGGGCTGGGGAGGTTGAGCCAGGAATCCCCCTTTCCCATGGACTCACCCACCCCCAACCCCAACCCAAAGCAGGCAGGTCTCCCTCAAGTTTATTGCAGCCTCTGTGCCAGGACATGGCAGGTACTTAGACTGAGAGCAGGCAGGCTTTGCCTCACAGAGCCACCCACTCAGCACCCCAGGTGCTGTCAGCCTGGGCTGGGCAGGCCACTTTGACCCTTCCCGAGATGCCATAGAGCTGGGTGCCCAAAGTCAACCTCCCCATGCTCACACCTCGGCTCCTACAGGGGTGGATGGCGACAGAGGTCGCTGGGTGGGGGCAGGGGTAGGCAGGTGGCAGGACTGTGCACAGGCTAAGGCTCTACCCCCCGGTGCACACTCCAATGCCCCACTGGGCTTCACTTAATAACACACAGACTCGAAGACAAAATTATTAAGGATTTCAAGATGGTGACTGCACTGCATTACGCCCCAGGCCTGGGGCTCTGATCCTCAGCCCAGTGTCCTGTTCAACGGCACGACCCCACGCCCATAGCACTGGCCCTGCTGGTACCCCACCAGAAGTCCCAAGGCAAAAGTTCATTCTCACTTTCCAATCTAAAACGCGTCTCTGTTTATGACAGGGATGGCAAAGAGGTTTCCCCTCGCCTGGGGGTGAGGCCGCCCTGGAGGAGGCAGGTGCGCGGGGTCTCGTTCCACCTGTTCAGCTCTGCAAGGCAGCACCTGGTTTACCCTGAAAAGCTTCTGAAGCCCACCCAGTCAAACAATAATTTTGTCCCATTGTGCAAAGAACTGATGTACAAGATACAGGCATAGTCAGTCACGACGATTACAGAAATCCTCCCCAAGCTGACTTGGTCTGGGGATTTACTTTAAGTGTCGGGGAGATTAGAAAAGAAAGCGGATCGAGCGATAATTACTTAATAAGTGGCTCTGGGGTGATGGCTTGTAAAACTGGGCCATTATCCAAAGTCATTACTTTGATGCAAGACTATAATCGAGTTGCTGAAAGCACATTTTTACAAACCTTGGCTTCTGGGTCACTGTTGATACTACAAGAATCGTCATCATCAGCATGTGGGGCATTTCTAGAAAAAAAAACAGAGAGACAAAACAAAACAGAAAATGGGACTCAGAATTCTACCGCAAACACTGGTGGCCAAAAAACCACACATCGCGGCTGGTCCTTCCAGTGCCCTACCTGAGTTTCAAAGACGCATAGCGCAGTGTTGCTCCTTCAAACTCTTTTAGACTGGGGTCCGGGTTCACTGTGGCTGCGTGCAAATCCTGGAGGGAAACAGGTGTCTGTTAGTGGAGAATGGGAGAGGACCAGGCGATGGCTTCCAGCATCACCAGGGAGAAGAGCCCTCCCGGCCTGTGGCGGAGTGCACACGAGCGGAGGCGGGAAAAGGCATGCAAGGGCTGCTGGCTGCCGCCTCGACACGAGGTGCAGCTCACGAGACAACAGGCAACCTGGGCACTCAGCTCGAAGTCATTCACAATGGGAGATACCAAAAAAAAAAAAAAAAAGGCCACATGTGTGTAAGCTGGACATCCCTAGCAAGAAGCCCCATCACTCCATCCCTGCAGGCCGCATGATGTTTGCAAAGGAAAAGGTGCAGCCCCAGCCATGCAAAAGGAACAAAATATTACATGATCTTAAAGCTGACAATATACTTGCCTTCCAAATGTCACTATTAATCTTTCCCCCATTCAGAACAGCAAAATCACTCCATGGCTGTTTCTAGACATACAGTTATTCACACAGGAACAAAGCACATTGATTTAAGGGGTAGGGTGGGGGAGACAGAAAAAGAGAAAAGGAAAAAAACACGAGACAGCGTTGTTAGCATTGATATTCACAGGATGGGTTAGGGAACAAATTCACTCTAATAGCAGCTGGTCAGCTCACTCTTTCTGTCTAGCTCTGTATTATCACCTGCAGACCAGGCAGGAGGAAAGAGTTGGCGCTTTATTTACCAAAACAAAGGACTAAACATTATTAGCAGACAGAGAAGTTATTTTCTAAGCGTGGTCTTAGAAGCAAACAAAATGCTCCCGAATATTAAACACCTGGCACACCTGACTCCATAGGAACCCTTTTCTCTCCCATCGACCAAACAGAACTGCTTCCCTGAGGTAGGGGTGGGATTGGGGCTGATACTTGTCAGTGTGCTGGTTTGGAACCGAGGAATGCCCACGGCTAAGTGGATAAAGGGCTGAGCGGTCGAATTATTTTTATTAAAAAAGACAACAAAAAGGAAAGAGAGTGAGTGAGGAACACGGCCTGACATCGTCATGCTGAGATTTAACCACACCTGAACTAGCCCTGATCGAGCTAAAGTTAGTTCCTCCGGTTCATGAAACGCTCCAGTTCTCTGACACACGGCCTCGTCACCAGCTCACATTTGATCACTGAACATAATCACAGGACAAAGCACGAAGCCTTGCCTTGTTGGCAGAACTCTTGCATCTTTCAATCTAAACAACAACTCCCATTCATCTTGTTCAAGAAGGAAATATTTTAAATTTTCCACTAGCTTGAGTGAAGAGTCAAGTATTTTTCTTCTGAGATTTGGGGAAATAATGCTAATAAAAGCCAGGACATCCTTATGAATTTGTCACACTGACATGGTGGGCAAATCTCTTTTCTCAGATAATAAATCAACAAAGGAAACATTTCAACTAAACTTCTTTGAAAATGGGGAGGAAACATGACCCATAACTTTTGCTCACAATGTTAATAAAATTTTTGTTTTTTTAAATTTTATTTTTTTATTGTATTTTTCCATTACCATTTATCTGCCTCTTACCCCCTCCCTCCCTGCATTCACCCCACTGTCCTCTATGTCCACCCCCTGCCCCCACCCATAGCTGTCAGCCTGCTCTCCATCTGTGAGTCTGTCTCTATTGTGCTTGTTAGTTCAGAATGTTCATTAGATTCCACATATGAGTGAACTCATATGGTATGTGTCTTTCTCTGACTCACTTAGCATTGTGCTCTCCAGGTCCATCCATGCTGTCGCAAAGGGTAAAATATTCTTCTATTTTATGGCTGAGTAGTATGCTATTGTTGTGTCAATGTCCCATAGTTATTTTATTCACTCATCTACCGAACATTTGGGCTGCTTCCATATCTTGGTGATTGTAAATAACACTGCAATGAACACAGGGGCGCTTATGTCCTTTTGAATTAGTGTTTTGGGTTCCTTTACATGTATTCCTGGAAGTGGGATCGCTGGGTCAAAATGCAGATCCATTTTTAATTTTTTTGAGGTTTTTCCATACTGCTTTCCACAGTGGCTGCACCAATCTGCATTCTCACCTACACTGCAAAAGGGTCCCCCTTTCTTCGCACCTTCACCAGCACTTGTTTGTTGATTTATCACTGATAGTCATTCCGACAGGTGTGAGGTGATATCTCCTTATGGTTTTAATTCGAATTTCTCTGGTGATTAGTGACATTGAACGTCTTTTCATGCTTATTGTCCCTCTTTGCAGAAGTGTCTATTCAGGTTCTTTGCCCATTTTTAATTGGGTTGCTTTTTTGGTGTTGAGTTTTGTAAGTTCTTTATAAATTTTGGATATTAACCCCTTATCAGATATATCAGCAAATGTTCTCCCATTTCTTGGGTTGTCTTTCTATATTGATGGTTTCCTTTGCTGTGCAGAAATAGTTTAGTTTGATGTAGTCAAATTTATATATATTGTCTTTCGTTTCTTTTGCCTGGGAAGATATATCAGATAAAATATTGCTACCAGCAATGTCCTAGATTTTACTGCCTGTGTTTTCTTCTAGGATTTTAATGGTTTTAGGTCTAACATTTAATTCTTTGATCCATTTTGAATTTATTCTTGTGTGTGGTGTAAGAAAGCGGTCTCGTTTCATTTTTCTGCATGGATCTGTCCAATTTTCCCAACATTTATTGAATAAACTATCTTTAGCCCATGTATGTGCTTGCTTCCTCTATTGAATATTAATTGACTATAAAGGTATGGGTTTATTTCTGGGCTCTCTATTCTGTTCCATTGATCTACATGTCTTTTTTATGCCAGTACCATGCTGTTTTGATTACTATGGCCTTATAGTATAGTTTGATATTAGATAGCATGATTCTTCCAATTTTGTTCTTTCTCAGGATGCTGCTGCTATGTAGGGCCTTTTGTCGTTCCATATAAATTCTTGAAATATTTGCTCTGTTCTGTGAAACATGTTATTGGAATCTTGATAGGAATTGCATTGAATCTATAGATTGCTTTGGGTAGTATGGACATTTTAACGATGTTAATTCTTCCTATCCATGAACATGGTATGTGCTTCCACTTATTTGTATCTTCTTCAATTTCTTTCTTCAGTGTCCTACAATTTTCTGAGTACAAGTCTTTCACATCCTTGGTATATTTGTTCCTAGGTATTTTATTCTTTTTTGAAGCAATTGTAAAAGGGATTTTAAAAAAATTCCCTTTCTATTGGTTTGTTATTGACATATAAGAATGCAACTGACTTCTGAATATTAATTTTGTATCCTGCTACTTATTGAATTCAATCAGTCCTAGTAGTTTCCTGGTGGAATCTTTGAGATTCGGTATATACAGTATCATGTCATCTGCAAATAAAGACAGTTTTACTTCTTCCTTTCCAATTTGGATGCTTTTTATTTTTTAATCTTGTTTGATTGCTGTGGCTAGGATTTCCAGTACTATGTTGAATAAGAGGTGAAAGCAGATATCTCTGACTTATTCCCAATCTTAAGAGGAATGCTTGTAGTTTTTGCCCATTGAGTATGATGCTGGTAGTAGGTCTGTCATATATGGCCTTTATTATGTTTAGTTATGTTCCCTCTACTCCCACTTTGCTGAGAGTTTAAATCATAAATGGGTACTGGATTTTATCAAATGCTTTTTCTGCATCTATTGAAATAACCATATGGTTTTTACCCTTCACTTTGTTTATGTGGTGAATCACATTTATTGACTTGTGAATGTTGTACCAACCCTGAATTCCTGGAATAAATCCCACTTGATCATGGTATATGATCTTTTTGATGCATTGCTTTGATGTCTTCAACTTGTTAATATTTTGTTCAGGACTTTAGCCCATATATGTTCATCAGGGATATTGGCCTGTTATTTTATTTATTTTTGTAGTGTCTTTATCTGGTTTTGGAATTAGGATAATGCTGGCCTTGTAAAATTAGCTTGGGAGCCTGCCCTCCTCTTGAATTTTTAAAATAATTTGAGAAGCAGAGGTGTTAGCTCTTCTCAAAGAGTGTTTGGTAAAATTCATGTGTGAAGCTACCTGTCCAGGGCTTTTGTTTGTTGGGAGTTTTTTTGATTACTGCTTCAGTTTCACTAGGTGTAATCTGTCTATTCAGATTCTCTGATACTTCCTGATTTAGTTCTGGAAGATTGTATGTTTCTAGGAATTTATCCATTTTGTCCAGGTTGTCCAGTTTTTTGGCATATAGTTGATAATATTTTCTTACAATCCCTTGTATTTCTTTGGTGTCAGTTGTTATTTCTCCTTTTTCATTTCTGATTTTATTTATTTGGGCCTTTTCTCTTTTTTCCTGATAAGTCTGGTTAAATGTATGTCAATCTTGTTTATCTTTTCAAAGAACCAGGTCTTGGATTAATTGATCTTTTGTATTTTTTTTTTGCTTCATTTCATTTATTTCTGCTCTGGTCTTTATTATTTCCTTCTTTCTACTCACCTTGGGCTTTGTTTGTTGTTCTTTTTCAAGTTCCTTTAAGTGTGAAGTTAGATTGTTTATTGGAGCCTTTTTTTTTTTTGGATAGGTCAGTAATACTATGAATTTCCCTCTTAGGATTGCTTTCCTTGTGTTCCACAGATTTTGGATTGCTGTGTTCTCATTTTCATTTGTTCCAAGGTATTATCTGATTTCTTCATTGATCTCATTATTGATCTTCATTATTTAATAACATGTTATTTATCTTCCATGTCTTTGTGTGTTTTCAGTGTTCTTGTGATTGATTTCTAGTTTCACCAAATTGTGGTCAGAGAAGATGCTTGACATAATTTCAATCTTCTTAAATTTATCGAGACTTGTTTTGTGCCCTAACATGTGGTCTATCCAGAAAATGTTCCATGTGCACTTGAAAAGTATGTATATTCTGCTGCTTTGGGGAGAAATGTTCTGAAGATATCAATTAAATCCATTTGATCTAGTGTGTCATTTAAAGCTGCTGTCTCCTTGTTGATTTTCTGTGTGGAAGATCTATCCATGGAAGTTGGGGTGTTAAAATCCCCAACTATGACTGTATTTTTGTCAGTCTCTCCCTTTATGTCCATCAAGGTTTGCTTCACATATTTAGGTGTTCCTGCGTTGGGCACATAAATGTTTATGAGGATTATATCCTCTTGCTGGACTGTTCCCTTTATCATTATGCAGTGTCCTTCTTTGTCTCTTACTTAGTTTTAAAGTCTATTTCATCTCTTACTTGTATAGCCTTGGTTTTAAAGTCTATTTTATTGAATATATGTATGGCTACCTCAGCTTTTTCTTTCCTTCACATTTGCATGAAATGTCTTTTTCCATCCCATTACCTTTAGTCTGTGTGTATCTTTCCATCTGAGATGAGTCTCTTGGAGGCAGCACGTACATGGGTCTTGTTTTCTTATCCACTCAGCCACCCTGTGTCTTTTGGTTGGAGCGTTTAAGCCGTTTACCTTTAAGGTGATTATTGATAGATACATATTTATTGCCATTTTATTTTTTTACT